CAAGGGCGTTATCGTCTTTATGCATTTTATTTCTAGAGAGCCTATATAAAAGGCTTTGTCATTGTACTTGAGATTATTATTGGATGAAATGAAATTTCTTTTCTATGTTCTCTTGTGAGTGCAACAAAGATCTCTTGGTGAGTTCTTCTTCGAGATCTCTTAGTGAGTTCTCTAGGTAATTGTGTACCCTAGTATTTTCTCTCTTCCATTCTCCTCTCTTTTCCCCCTTCACAAAATTCTACACAAAGCCCACCCTAGCCCTTGCCGCCGGCCTCCCTAGGATTTCCCCCACCGTCGGCCAAGCTCCCAACCGCCGACCACCCACCTTGCCGAGATCCCTCCCCCACCCGACCGGCTCCCCCTCTCCACCAATTTCCAATGTAAAATTTGAGGTTCAAATTTTGAATTGTTTCCTAATTTGGAAGTCCAAATTAGAAAGGTTTTCATGATCAAATCAATTTCTAATGAAATTGGAGTTTTCAAAATCCTTGCCACGTCATCAAACCACATTGGAAACCACCCTTTTTTTCTCTCCCCAATTCTCCCTTTCCCTAGCTATGCCGCCGGCCCCCTAGGTGGAATTTTCTTTAATTACCACATTAAACCCCTTGATCCTATTTTGAAATTCAAATTAGGATCCATTAATTTTACCTCCTCTTTTCATTAAAACTGAAATAATTTCAGTTTAATCCTCCCCCCTCTCCCTATTCTTCCACCGCCGGCCTCCTCTCTCTCTTTCCCCCATTAATTCCTCATTAAGGAATTAATTGGCCTCTCATTGGAATTCAAATTTCCCCTCCAAAACTCCCAAAATTGAAATTAATCTCAATTTTAGTTTCTTTGTTTTCTAAACCAACCTCCCATCACCCCCTTCTACCGCCGGCCTCCCCATCCCCTTTACACCCGCCGCCCACCTCTTCCTCTCATTGGAGAGTTTTTGTGACGACCACCCCTTCGCATCTTCAAGAATGAATGGAGGAACCCGAGTGGAATTTCGGGTTTGAGTACGACAACCGTGGACGAGTTAACATCCTCATATCTCCCTTCTTCGACGTAGGCTTCGACTTTGATGACACCGTCGAAGAATACTTGGACCGGATCCTACCAACTCTAGTGGATTCTATCGACGACCATTTTTCCGTCTACACGTGGATCATTGAGGGGCGTCGTTCCACATCACCTCCCCGACCGGCGCCTTCCTCTCCGTCCCTACGGATCTACGGTACCGTCGCCCTTAGAGTGGTTTCATCACTAGTGTGGCTATTTTTCTCCCAACAAGCCTAGACGTAGGTAAATGAGCATAGCCTCAAGGTGAGACCATCGCTTTGTTAACTGCGGGATTCAAGTTGGCTTTTCATTTGCTTTACTTTTATTGCTGTCGTTATTTTACAGATCTTGCTAATTTAGCGGTAATAACTTGCCTAGATTTGGTTGAATTCTAAGATCCTTCTTGAAGTATCAATTGAGAAAATCATTAAGATTGATCTTTCACTACTTTAACGAACTTTTATTAATTTTCTGAGACTCAATTTCTGGTATCACATCATCTTGGTATCAGAGCATGGCTAGCATGCTTTGTTTTTGCTAGATGCATCCTAGGAGTCGAGTTTACCTTGCCATTGGTCGTTTACATGCATAACATCATCTAGGTAATTTTATTCACTGTTTAACTTTGCTGTCCAGAAATTTTCTGCATGCTAATATCATTGTAAACATTCATATTTACTATACCTAAGTGTTTTCTTTGCCACTTGCCACCTACCCAATCACCTAGGTCACTTGCCACCCTAGAAAACCTTGCTGTCCGGGACTGATGTAGGACAGAAAATTGACTTTGCTATAATCTGAAACGGTCTCAGGTTTCCACCAAAAACCTGAGAGAAATTCACAGGTTTCTATGCTTGGGAGCAAGGAGAATTAGAAGGGAAAGCATTAGCCTTTAGTCCAGCAATGCATGGCCGTGAGAGAGAAGGGATTGAATTCGTAATTGGTTTGAAAGAAAAGGAAAGAAAGATTGGAGGATGGCGGCAAGGGAAAAGAAACGGATATTAATCTGTTTCCAAATTGAGAGAGCTCCTTTTGGAAATCAAATTGTTTAACAGGTTTAGTAGGAATAGGCTATGGACGGGATGAAGAGGCTTAAGAGGCTCGAGGCGAACACCCTATCACGGATTGGAGGACGATGAAGCAAGAACTTAAGAGAAAATATCTCCCTCCTTCATACTACCCTAAGCTCCTTGATAAATGGAATAGATTGACCCAGGGGAGCAAGCCCGTCAAAGACTATATCTCGGCCTTCGACGATTTCCTGATCCGTTGCAATGGCGAAGAGTCGGCCACCCCAACTCAAATCCTGTTCATGTTTAGAGCTGGCCTTAGGGAAGATCTACGAACCGAACTTTTTGCTAGAGGAGTAGACTCGTTAGAGGCAGCCTGCAGCCTAGTTCTCGACCTTGAAGATTCTAAAACCCACTCCCAAACGAAACACTTTGACTCCCGCTCAAACTCGTATAGAACCTCGTCTGGGCAACCCCAAAACCGACCCTCGGGTTCGACTGCAAGCCGACCCACTGCTAGTTCAGCCCCACCTCGCACGGACCTCAAAGGCAAGACCCCCGAACGAGACGCTTCCAAACCCAACTCTGGAACCAAGTGCTATAGGTGTCATGTGTATGGACACATTGCTTCGCAGTGTTCTAGTCCTTACAAGGTCACCATAATTGAAGAGGTGGACGAAGAGGAGAACGAACCTGAGACTGATTTGGTTCACCATGTTGATGAGGAAGAAGACTCTTTTATGGAGGAAGAACCCATTACCTTTCAGGTTGTTAGATGCGCTTTATCACAACCTAAGTTAAATGATGATTGGCGTAGGACTTCCATTTTTCATACCTTTGTTAAGATTGGAGAAAAGAGCTGCAAGGTTATTGTCGATAGTGGAAGTTGCATCAATGCAGTCTCTTCAGCTATGGTTTCCAAGCTCAACCTTAAGATGACCCCTCACCCAAATCCGTATAAGGTTGCTTGGATCAACTCGACTACCATAGAAATTAAGGATCGAAGCCTCATTCCCATAGAGTTTGTGGGATATCAAGAGAAGATTTGGTGTGATGTTTTGACCATAGACGTAGGTCAAATTATCTTGGGTCGCCCTTGGTTATTTGATAATGACGTTCATATCTATGGGAGAACGAACACCTGCATGTTCGAACATAATGGAAAGAAAATTAAGTTAATACCCTCTCAACCCAGACCTCCCAAGACGGAAGCCAAGCCTACCCCAGCCAAACAAAGCAAAGGGCTCCACCTCTTGACTGCTAAGGAAGTAGAAAATGAGATCACCCAAGGAACACCCATGTATGCCCTAGTAGCGAGAGAAGTGGATGAGGATCAAAAAGAGCAAATCCCCGAGGAAGTTAAGCCTCTTCTTGAGAGCTTTGCTGATGTTTTCCCAGATGATTTACCTAACCAACTGCCACCCCTGCGGGACATACAACACGCGATAGATTTAGTGCCGGGAGCATCCCTACCCAACCTCCCGCACTACCGTATGAACCCGACCGAGCATTCTGAGCTGAAGAAACAAGTCGATGAACTCCTACAACGAGGATTCATTAGGGAGAGCCTTAGTCCGTGCGCTGTTCATGCACTTTTGACTCCCAAAAAGAACGGCTTGTGGCGGATGTGTGTTGATAGCCGTGCTATCAACAAGATTACTGTCAAGTATAGGTTTCCCATTCCCTGGTTAGATGACATGTTGGACATGATGACCGGAACAACTCTCTTTTCCAAGATAGATCTTAAGAGTGGGTACCATCAAATTAGAATCCGTCCAGGGGATGAGTGGAAGACGGCGTTCAAAACGAAGCATGGACTTTATGAATGGACTGTTATGCCGTTTGGTCTGAGCAACGCCCCAAGTACCTTTATGAGGGTTATGACCCAAGTTCTTAGGCCTTTCTTAGGAAAATTTGTAGTAGTTTACTTTGACGACATATTAATCTACAGTAATTCGGTGGATCAACATCTCAATCATATAAAACAAGTTTGTGAAGTTTTGAGGAAAGAGCAATTGTTCGCCAACCCTGTCAAATGTAAATTCCTCACTGACAGTGTGACCTTTCTTGGATTTATCATTTCAACTCAAGGAATATCTGCGGACCCAGAAAAGGTGCGAGCTATAAATGAGCGGCCAGAATCTAAGAATATTCGGGATGTTAGGAGTTTTCATGGATTGGCCACATTCTATCGAAGGTTTATTCGGAATTTCAGCACCATCGTAGCCCCAATAACTGACTGTCTTAAGAAAGGGGTATTCCATTGGATGACAGTTGCGACCAAAGCTTTTGAGGATATCAAGAAGAAAATGGTAGAAGCTCCTGTTATGTGTCTCCCGGATTTTTCTAAAGTGTTTGAGGTAACCTGCGACGCATCAGGGATCGGAATAGGAGGAGTCTTGTCACAAGAGGGACATCCTGTGGCATACTTTAGCGAGAAACTAAATGACATATGACAGAGGTACTCTACCTACGATAAGGAGTTTTATGCTATCATTCAGTCCCTTAGATATTGGAGACACTACTTGCTACCCCAAGAGTTTCTAATTTTTTCGGATCATGAGGCGTTGCGATACATCAACTCCCAAAAGAAGTTAAATGCCCGTCATGGTCGTTGGGTTGAATTCTTACAAGAATATTCGTACACTATCAGACATAAAGCCGAAACTGAAAATAAAGCAGTTGATGCTTTGAGCCGTAGAATAATGGTCACTAGAGAGATGAGAACAGAAGTTGTCGGATTTGATTGCATCAAGGATGACTATCAAGAGTGTACGGATTTTAAAGATATTTATGCGTCACTAACGACGGGAGATAAGCCAGCTGTAGATGATTTCTTGTTAGAGGATGGTTACTTATTCAAGTCTCAGAAGCTGTGTATTCCCAACACATCTCTTCGTGAATTTCTTGTGTGGGAACCACACGCAGGAGGCTTAGCTGGATATTTTGGGCAGGCTAAGATCATCGCAGCGGTTGAGTATAGATTTTTCTGGCCCAGTCTCAAGTGAGATGTTAGTAGACTGATCAAACAATGCCATACCTGCCAACTAGCTAAACAGAGAAAACAGAACACGGGTTTATACACCCCGCTTCCCGTCCCAAACC